GACCAATCCTGACAAGTATGGGGTTTTTAGTGTCTCCTCAGTAGCAATACAAAGCAACTAAGGACACAAAGAGCAGAGAGAGGCCTTTTTGGCTTTTGGAAGTTGATTTCACAACTTTAGGAAGGATAATATTTTGACGATATGGCAACGCAAGGCAAACTAAGGAAACAAACTGCACCCTCACACCCAAATATATTATTTGTCGTGTCAGAGCAACCAGTCCATTATATTACATTTCTAACAGAACAAAGCAAACAAACAGAAAAATACAAAACTTTTGAGTTTGGTAGTTGGTTAAATGTCCTTTGACCAGTATCTGGCCACTTGGAGTGCCTCCGGTGTTGCTGCAAGAAGGTCCTCCATTGTGCATGTGGCAGGGCTCAGGTTGCATTGCAGCAGGTGGTTAGTGGTTTGCTCTTCTCCGCACTCGCATGTCGTGGATTCCACTTTGTAGCCCCATTTCTTGAAGTTGGCTCTGCATCTCGTGGTGCCCAAACGCAGTCTGTTCAGTGCCTTCCGAGTTGCCCCATCTTCTGTGTGCCCACAAAGGAGTCTCTCATTGGGTATCAGCCATTGGTTGAAGTTCTGGGTTTGAGGCTGCCACTTTTGGACTCTCGCTTGCTGAGGTGTTCCAGCGAGTGTCTCTGTAGATCTTAGAAAACTATTTCTTGATTTAAGTTGTTGGCGTGCTGGCTGATGCCCAAACAAGGGATGAGCTGGGAATGTCACTGCCTTGGTCCTTTCACTATTGGCTGCTACTTCCCGGCGGATGTCAGGTGGTGCAATGCCGGCTAAGCAGTGTAATTTCTCCAGTGGTGTAGGGTGGGCACCCCGTGATAATGCGGCATGTCTCATTAAGAGCCACATCCACTGTTTTAGTGTGGTGAGATGTGTTCCACACTGGGCATGCATACTCAGCAGCAGAGTAGCACAGCGCAAGGGCAGATGTCTTCACTGTATCTGGTTGTGATCCCCAGGTTGTGCCAGTCAGCTTTCGTATGATATTGTTTCTAGCACCCACTTTTTGCTTGATGTTCAGGCAGTGCTTCTTGTAGGTAAGAGCACGGTCCAGAGTGACTCCCAGGTATTTGGGTGCGCTGCAATGCTCCAGTGGGATTCCTTCCCAGGTGATCTTCAGAGCTCGGGATGCTTGTCTGTTCTTGAGATGAAAGGCACGTGTCTGTGTTTTAGATGGATTAGGGATCAGCTGGTTTTCCCTGTAATAGGCAGTAAGAGCACCTAGAGCTTCGGAGAGCTTCTGTTCTACCATCTCAAAGCTCCCTGCTTGAGCAGTAATGGCACGATCATCAGCATAGATGAAACTCTCTGTCCCTTCTGGCAGTGGCTGGTCATTTGTGTAGATGTTGTGTAGATATATATATGCCTTTGTGTATATGTGTGTTTGCATATATATGGTTATGCGCATGTGCTCCAGTGTCTTTTTGCTTTTTTTTGCTTTTTAAGTCCCTTCTGCTGTGCTTTTAAGTGATTTTATGAGTGATAGTCACTCGTTGGTCTGATAGGTGTATTGTGTCCAAATTTGGTGGCAATTCGCCCAGTGGTTTTTGAGTTCTGTTAATCCCACAAATGAACATTGCATTTTTATTTATACACAAATATTATATATAACATTCTCTCTGTTGCTCTTCTTTCTTTCTCTGCAGCAAAGACGCAGTTCCAGGATCAGATCTCAAAGCTGCAGCGTACAGTCCTCACCATGAATTGTGAGCTGGAGGATGTGAAACACAACCGCACAGGTCAGGAGGTGGGAAATTGGCCAAAATGGGGGATACAGGGCATGTGTGCCTGCCTGGCGGGGTGGGCGTCGGTCAAGCAATGCTTTGATTTTATTTCGATTTCCAGTTTAACACCAATGGGTTGTTCCATGTGTAAATCATGGTATTACCAAAATCTGTCACCAGGGGGCATTGAAGGCCCGTTGCCCAACATGCTAATAATAATAATAATAATAATAATAATAATAATAATAATAATAATAATAATCCTTTATTTATACCCTGCTACCATCTCCTGGAGGACTCGGTGCACCATGCTACTTTGAAAACCACAGAAAACCGTTTGAAGGCAGTAGCAGAGGTGTATTCACGTGGCCAGATGGATGACAGAACAGCGCAATTGCAAAAAAATAAAATAAAAATGGTCATAACTCATACAGAAAAGTGCAGCATATTTTATTAAGTTTGGCAGCTATTCAAATCTCCCATTTAGTACTAATGGACTTCGGAAACTTGGACTTTGGAAGATTGGAATAATATCTACAAAAAGAGTGAGGCTTAGTAAACCTGAAAGTCAATCAAGTGGGTAAACAAAGTCCTTGATGAGCCTTGTAGGTTGCTGGCAATCAGTCTCTCCGCAGGGAGTCCATGGGAAGAATCTGCGTTGTGTTTCAAGGCAGCCACGTAGTCCAAAGTCACATAAAATTAGAATTATGATATTTGTTAACCTTGATATTTGTTAACCTGGTCCTATTGTACAGCAGGGGTTAGGTTGTAGAAACGGAATGGTAACATACTGGAACTAGCAGTTTGAATTATGCAAAGTTTTGCAACAGTAAAGGCGCAATTGCAAACAGTGCCAACAAAGAGAAAAAATAGGACAAGTGCAAAGACGCCAGAATGGATGTCTAAAGAACTTCTAACTGTGCTAAGATTCATAAGAGACATGCACAAGAAGTTGAAAAAGGGAGAAATCACCAAAGAAGAATTCAAACAAATAGCCAACTCCTGTAGGGAAAAGGTCCGCAAGGATAAAGCACAAAACGAACTCAGGCCCCGGAGTGTGGTGGAGACTCCTTCTTTGGAAGCTTTTAAACAGAGGCTGGATAGCCATCTGTCAGGGGTGCTTTGAATACAATATTTCTGCTTCTTGGCAGGGGGTTGGACTGGATGGCCCATGAAGTCTCTTCCAACTCTATGATTCTATGTTAGGAAAAGGGGAAAGAAGCACCCCATAGACAAAAAGAAAGAGCTGGGTCTATATTATTTCATAAACTGTATGTGTGTGTGTGTAAACATATATCTATGTATGCCTGTATGTGTAGGTGTTTCTTAAAGTGACAGGGCTAAAGTCAATAGTCACAACCTAATCTTGGCTCCAGGGGTACAGTTTCCCAAGCACATATATTATATCAAGATTCTATGTCTATAGTTGCACCCCGGTTTTGTGTATATACTTGAATCTTCACCCCCTTCTCTTTATTGATATAGGAGAAGCTCTAAAATATCTTGTCAATGGCTTTCATGGCCGGAATCACTGGGTTGTTGTAGTTTTTTCGGGCTATATGGCCATGGTCTAGAGGCATTCTCTCCTGACGTTTCACCTGCATCTATGGCAAGCATCCTCAGAGGGAGTGAGGTCTGTTGGAACTAGGAAAAAAGGGTTTATATATCTGTGGAATGACCAGGGTGAGACAAAGGACTTTTGTCTGCTGGAGTTAAGTGTGAATGTTTCAACTGACCACCTTGATTAGCATATAATGGCCTGACAGTGCCTCAAACAAACTTTTGTTGAGAGGTGATTAGATGTCCTTGTTTGTTTCCTCTCTGTTGTTGTGCTATTGTAACTTTAGAGTTTTTTAATACTGGTAGCCAGATTTTGTTAATATAGCCCGAAAAAACTACAACAACCCACTACATTGTCAATGTAAACCACTATAAGGGGTATCTCTATGGCCTGGGGACTTCCTGCCAAACCAATTTTTAGGCTTGGTAAATGATTAATCCTCCCAGGGATGATTGGGGTTGGGCTGGGGCTGAAACCCAGCCAAGCTCTAAATTCAGTATATGTTAAATATTTATAGTTATTGTTATTAGAGGAGGTGGGTTGATTTCTCAATAATATAGGGAACCTAAGGGTCCTTTCACACAGCCCCAGGCATGTAGCCGAGGGGGGGGGGCTTGAGGGGCTTCAGCCCCCCCCCCCCCGAAATTCTCATGATGGTTCGCGAAAAGGCCTTACTGGTGCATTATTTAAACTGTTATGTTTATTCATATCATGATCTGATCACCATGCTCAATATATCCCATATGCATGGGGGTATTGGGGTAACGATACAAAAGGTTTGCTAGGGTAGACCCTCTTTCACTCAGACTCAGCCCCCCCCCCGAACCAAACCCACCCCCCCCCCCCCCGAATCAAAATCCTGGCTTCGGACCTGCACAGCCCTATATCCTAGAATATCAAGGCAGAAAATAGCACGTTGTCTGAGTGTGGACTCAGATAATGCAGTTCAAAGCAGATATTGTGGGATTTTCTGCCTTGATATTCTGGGATATGTGGAGGGGACCTAAGTCTCAACTCACGTTAAATTCCTGTTAGCTTCATAGGCACTTAGCGCAGCTTCTTCACATTTGTGCATGAAATAAAACTTGGGTTCATTGAAGCATCAGAAAATCAAAGGTGTCGCTCTCTCAGCCAATACAATTTAGGGTTTTGGAGTATTTTGGAGATCTGGGAGTTGTAGTTTTACAAGGTCTTCAGCCTTCTCTTTCAACTGCAACTGGATATAGGTTTCAGTCCGCTTTGGGGATTTTCTTCTTGTCTCTCTGCAGGAACCAATAAAGGGATCTGCTGCCCGAAAGGCTGGCTCCCTTTCGCCCGGAACTGCTATTGGTTTTCCAATTCGGAGATGAAATGGGAAGACGCGAAACTGGATTGTGAAAATAAGGAGGCCCACCTGGTGATCATCACCACTTACTTGGAAAAGGTCTGTTTAAGGGGTTTACTTGTTTTATTTTTAATGCCATTAATATTTAATGCTATTTTAATGTTTGTGCATTAAATAATAATAATAATAATAATAATAATAATAATAATAATAATAATAATTCTTGCATCAGTGAGATGCTGGGACTTGTAGTTTGGGAAGAGAAGGCTATGGACCCTGTGAAAATACAACTTGAAGGATTCCATAAAAGTGCATTCAAGCTACTGTGCAGAAAGCGACCTTTCTGGAAGCAGGAAAGACATTGCTCATATTACGCACAATGCATCTACACCGTAGAATTAATGCAGCTTTGACATCCCTTTGTTTTGGGCTCAAATGCTATGGCATCCTTTGGGGAGGCACCAGCCTTGTTTGGCAAAGAAGTCTCAATGACCTTGCAAAGCTACAACTCCCGAGATTCCATAGCCTTGAGCAGTGGCAGTTAAAGTGATATCAAAGTATATTCATTCGACAGTGGAAATGCACCAAACTACAACTCCCAGGATTCTATAGCCTTGAGCCATGATTTCTTATAATGGGGTCAAACTGCATCCTTTCTACAATGTTGATGCACCCCAAGTCAGAAAAGGAAAACTACAAATCCCAAGAGGTTGGTACCTCACCAAACTACAACTCCCATTGAAATCATGGAGGAATTTAAGAGGAATTTAAAAGGGTCTGGCTCTGAAGGAGAGACCCTGCGGACCCACCAAAGAGGGCTCGCTACAATGGTGAGCAAAGAGAAGCCCAATTTAAAAGGTTTTTCCTAAGTTCCCAAAAGAAATCTCACCAAAGTTGAAGGAAGCACCACCGAGATTTTATTGCAATTCAGCTGAAAAGGATGCAAAGCAGCAATATTTCGCTACAAATATACAAATATACAAAGGTACAAATAAAAGCCTTTTTTATACAGAAACAGAGTTTCCAGGTTTGAATCTCCCATTCCCCACCCCTCTACCAGCTCGACGATGATTGGCTGGCGCTCTACAGCTGGGAGGAGACTTGGCCACCTCCTGAGCGCCTGGGCCAATCGCTGGGCTTCTGCCACCTCGGCGTCTTGACAAATCAGGAGAGAGGGAGGTGGGATGAGAGGGAAACAATGGATTCTTGAGAGGATTATGGAGGTAGAAAATGTCCATGCGGCCAGCGAGTCCTGGGGCCTGCGAGCCAGCCATTCTTATTGTCATTGAGTGGCTGCAATAAACATTGATGTTTGGCGATCCTGCCAAGATCTGGATTTTTCCAGTGTGGAGATATGGGAACAATGGGGAACTTTGGCTGAAGTCTTTAGTGAAAGAAAGTTGAATGGGTGACAGATTAGGACGAGGTGCGGCTTTCCAAAAGCCCCCCTCCATCCCATTGAGATATGATCATAATTGCCAAATGACCACTTCCTCTGGGGGGCCAACTCCGAGGCCAGAGGTCACGATCCTTTGTTATTGTCCATGCAAAAAGTGTCTTTTGAGAAGAGTCTTTTTCAACTAGAGATTTCCTTCTTTCCAGGGTCACGCAGGGGTGGCTGCCTTGTATTTTTATACATTTTTCAATAAAGGGGAATTGGGCAAAAGGATCAGGAAAAGGTCAGATACACAGGGAGGAATATAGAAATAGAGAAATCATGTTATAGAAAACATACCCACTTATCCCTCCCACCAGAGTCCCATAGAAGTTCAAGAGAGCACATAAGTATAAAGGGAGGTAGCTTCTCAGTAATAAATGTGCTACCTTCTGCTATATATGAAACCTAGGGCATAAATCCTTGATTAAATGTACCACTATCTAACATGGAATGGGTCCTTGTTGTTATTAGTGTCTTGGCAAATTGACCAAGGCTTAACCCTTATTATCCAGTCTGGTGTCCTTGTCCTTAGCAAAACTATAAGTTACTATCTTTTGGGGGGGGGGGTCGGGTGTTCAACTTCACCATGGCTTTGTAAAGTGGCATGGAACTGCATCAATTTGACTTTCAACCAACCATGGGCGTCCAGTGTTAGGCTGGATCTACTCTGCCATATAATCCAGATAATCAAAGCAGATCATCCAGATTATCTGCTTTGAACTGGATTATATGAGTCTACACTGCCATATAATCCAGTTCGAAGCAGATAATCTGGATTTTCTCTGGCAGTGTAGACGGGGCCTTAGGGGAAGGTATGCAAGGCCCCTTCTACACTGCCGTATAATCCAGATTATCAAAACAGACAATCCAGATTATCTGCTTTGAACTGGATTATATGAGTCTACATTGCATATAATCCAGTTCAAAGCAAATAAACTAGATTATCTGCTTTGAACTGGATTATAGGAGTCTATACTGCCATATAATCCAGATTATCAAAACAAATAAACCATATTATCTGCTTGAACTGGATTTTAGGAGTCTATACTGCCATATAATCCAGATTATCAAATCAAATAAACCAGATTATCTGCTTTGAACTGGATTATATGAGTCTACACTGCCATATAATCCAGTTCAAAGCAGATAATCTGGATGTTCTATGGCAGTGTAGAAGGGACCTAGATTCCCACTCTTGGAAATGACTCATGAAACTTGGTTCGGGGTGATTATGCTCCGGACTTTTATGTATTTATGGGGCTTTTTGTGTTTGTGTGTCTTTTCCCACCCTGGTAGATGTTTGTGGTGGCACACACCAAGCCTCGCAACTTCTGGATCGGGCTGTCCTTGGTCAATCAGCTGGAAGTGGGTGGACGGGACACCCTACACCGTGCGCAGGATGTGAGTGCAAGGGACTGCTCTCGTTGGGTCGGGAGGAGGTTGGTGGCCCCATGTGGTGGGACCCTGGGGGTTGTAGTCTCCCAAGGTCTGAGGACTTCTCTCCATAAGTATGCTGGCGCTTGACCAAACCACAACTCCCAGGATTACATGAAAGCATGGAGCCGTGGTAGTCAAAGTGGTGCCAAACTGCATTAAGTCAACAGGAACGGGCCAACTTTGGTCCTCCTTCCAGGTGTTTTGGACTTCAACCCCCACAATTCCTAGCAGCTGGTATAAAATAATAATAGATCTATTACGGTTCTTGCAAGTTTTCTATTTGTTTTGACAGTTAGGCCTTTCAAATCTGAGATCAAGGTTTTCAAACTGCAGTCACTGTTCATTTTTGTCATTTTCTGATTTGTTGTCTTTATTGAATATATTAAAAAGCCCCTTGAGTGGAGAGCCAAAGGTTTCTCCAGGCTCTTCATACAAAATAATAATAATAATAATAATAATAATAATAATAATAGGAACGAGAGGAACGAGAGACCAGATTGCCAATATCCGGATGCTGGATAATGGAGAAAGGCAGGGAGTTTCAGAAAAACATCTACTTCTGCTTCATTGACTCTTCTAAAGCCTTTGACTGTGTGGATCATAATAAATTGTGGCAAGTTCTTGGTGGGATGGGCATCCCAAGCCCCCTTCCCTCTCTCCTGAGGAATCTGTCCAAGGACCAAGTAGCAACAGTCAGAACTGACCACGGAACAGGAGACGGGTTCAAGATTGGGAAAGGCGTCCGGCAAGGCTGCATCCTCTCACCCAACCTTTTTAACTTGTATGCAGAACACATCATGCGATGTGCGGGGCTGGATGAATGCAAAGCTGGGGTGAAAATTGCTGGAAGAAACATTACCAACCTCAGATATGCAGATGACACCACTCTGATGGCCGAAAGCGAGGAGGAGCTGAGGAGCCTTCTAATCAAGGTGAAAGAAGAAAGCGCAAAAGCCGGGTTGCAGCTAAACATCAAAAGAACCAAGATTATGGCAACAAGAATGATTGACCACTGGGAAATAGAGGGAGAAAATGTGGAGGCCGTGACAGACTTTGTATTTCTAGGTGCAAAGATGACTGCAGATGCAGACTGTGGCCAGGAAATCAGAAGACGCTTCCTTCTTGGGAGGAAGCAATGTCCAGTCTCGATAAAATAGTAAAGAGTAGAGACATCAGACTGGCAACAAAGATCCGCCTAGTCAAAGCCATGGTATTCCCTGTAGTAACCTACGGATGTGAGAGCTGGACCTTAGGGAAGGCTGAGCGAAGGAAGATCGATGCTTTTGAGCTGTGGTGTTGGAGGAAAGTGCTGAGAGTGCCTTGGACTGCGAGAAGATCCAACCAGTCCATCCTCCAGGAAAGAAAGCCCAACTGCTCACTGGAGGGAAGGATACTAGAGACAAAGTTGAAGTCCTTTGGCCACATCATGAGGAGACAGCAAAGCCTAGAGAAGACAATTATGCTGGGGAAAGTGGAAGGCAAAAGGAAGAGGGGCCGACCAAGGGCAAGATGGATGGATGGCATCCTTGAAGGGACTGGACTGACCTTGAAGGAGCTGGGTGTGGTGACGGCCAACAGGGAGCTCTGGCGTGGGATGGTCCATGAGGTCATGAAGGGTCGGAGACAACTGAACGAATGAACAACAAGAACAACTCCTGACCTCACGATCGTGTTAAAAAACCAAGTATGGATTGTCGATGTTGCAATCCCAGTGACAGCAGGATTGAAGAGAAGCAACTGGAAAAGCTGACACAATACGAGGTTTTAAAGATCAAACTACAAGCCAGTCAAGGGGGTCCCAGTGGTGATCGGCACACTGGGTGCAGTGCCTAAAGACCTTGGCCTGCACTTAAACACAATCGGCACTGACAAGATTACCACCTGCCAGCTGCAGAAGGCCACCTTACTGGGATCTGCACGCATCATTCGCCAATACATCACACAGTCCTAGACACTTGGGAAGGGTCCGACGTGTGATCCAATACAACAGCCAGCAGAGTGACCTTGTCTGCTGTGGACTCATCTTATTGTGTTTATAATAATTATAATTATAATTGTGGAAAAAAACAAATATGGGTCATCGATGTTGCAATCCCAGGTGACAGCAGAATTGATGAGGAGCAACTGGAAAAGCTTGCAGCAGTGGTTCTCAGCCTTCCTAATGCCGCAACCCTTTAATACAGTTCCTCATGTTGTGTTGACCCCCAACCATAACATTATTTTTGTTGTTACTTCATAAATGTAATTTTGCTACTGTTATGAATCGTAATGTAAATATCCTATATGCAGGATGTATTTTCATTCACTGGACCACATTTGCCACAAATACCCAATATGCCCAAATTTGAATACTAGTGGGGTTGGGGGGAGGGACTGGTTTTATCATTTGAGAGTTGTACTTGCTGGGATTTATAGTTCACCTACAATCAAAGAGCATTCTGATCTCCACCAATGATGGAACTGAACCAATCTTGGCACACAGGACTCCCATGACCATCAGAAAACACTAGCAGGGTTTGGTGGCATGGATCTTGAGTTTGGGAGTTGTAGTTCATCTACATCTGTGGACTCATCTGTGTGGCGGCAAAAAAAGCCAATGGGATTTTGGCCTGCATCAAGAGGAGCCTAGTGTCTAGATCTAGGGAAGTAATGCTACCCGCTCTATTCTGCTTTGGTTAGACCACATCTGAAATATTGTGTCCAATTCTGGGCACCACAATTCAAGAGAGATATTGACAAGCTGGAATGTGTCCAGAGGAGGGCGACTAAAATGATCAAGGGTCTGGAGAACAAGCCCTATGAGGAGCAGCTTAAGGAACTGGGCATGTTTAGCCTGAAGAAGAGATGGCTGAGAGGAGACATGATAAGGGCCATGTATAAATATTTGAGAGGAAACCACAGGGAGGAGGAGGGAATAAGCTTGTTTTCTGCTTCCCTGAAGACTAGGACGCGGAACAATGGCTTCAAACTACAAGAGAAGATTCCATCTGAACATTAGGAAGAACTTCCTGACTGTGAGAGCCGTTCAGCAGTGGAACTCTCTGCCCCGGAGTGTGGTGGAGGTTCCTTCTTTGGAAGCTTTTAAACCGAGGCTGGACGGCCATCTGTCAGGGGTGATTTGAATGCAATATTCCTGCTTCTTGGCAGAATGGGGTTGGACTGGATGGCCCATGAGGTCTCTTCCAACTCTTTGATTCTATGATCCTATCAGAGATGTGGACTCAAGCAATGATGCATCTGGACCAAACTTGGCAGGGATACTCAATGTGTCCAAATGTGACACTGGTGGAGTTTGGGGGGGAAATAGACCTTGATATTTGGGAGTTGTAGTTGCTGGGATTTATAGTTCATCTATAATCAAAGAGCATTCTGACCCCACCAACAATAGAATTGGACCTAACTTTCCACATGTAACCCAGATGACCAAGAGAAAATACTGTGTTTTCTGATGGTCTTCGGCGACCCCTCGAACACCATCTCGCGACCCCCCCAGGGGTCCCAACCCCCAGGTTGAGAAACACTGGCTTACACGATATAAGGATTTAAAGCAGCAGTTCTCAACCTGGGGGTCGCGACCCCCGGAGGGGTCACTTGGCAATTCTGGAGGGGTCGCAGCATGTCTCGTAAGGCCACGCCTTCTCCTGCGATCCCATGCACCCTCAACAGCGCGCCAAACAGATACCGAGGACTTCGCAGAAGCTACTGGCATCTGTACGCATCATTCACCAATACATCATTCTGTTTGTAACAATGGAAATACATCCTGCATCTCAGATATTTACATTACAATTCATAACAGTACAGTTGTTTTGGTACGGCTGTACCAGGGGCTCCTACTTGATTTGCTTTGTATTAAATGTTTGCTTGCAGTCCAAGGTTTCAGGGACTCTGCAGAAAGGTGGCTTCCTTTGGTTGCAGTCATAGGGCAAGTCACCTGTCCATCATCGTTAAGTTTTGGTCCCGCCCCTTGCTCAGGGCAATTGGGAAGGGAAGGGAGCCATTTTTAGTTAGTCTCAGCAAGGAAAGCTAATGTACAGGACGTGTGCAAGCTTCCCCTGTACAAAAGCTTCAACCCTTAAGACTTTCTGGGGGGAAACAGTCTTAAGAGCAAACCAGAGAACTCCAGGGAAGCCTCCCCAAAGCTTTGAGGACTTTCCGGGGGGAAACAGTCTTAAGAGCCTCCAAAGATTTCCAGGAAAACAGCCCTAAAGACCAAAGAACTCCAGCTGGAGAATATCTAAGCCTTTACTGGTAGGTCCACTCGGTGCTTCGAGATGCAGTTCGACCCGGTAGCGGAGCCCACATCAGTAAGGGTTAGATTACAGTCAGCCTGGGAGAAGTTAAAAAGGTGATTTTCCATTTAAAGTAAAGAAGAAGTTATTGAAGACAGTTGCCTGTCCTTCGTGGGCAAGATTAGGAAGTCACCAGTTGCATAAAGCTTGGAAGTATTTGTTTAGCTTTATTGAAGACAAGAGAAGTTTCTGTTTGATTGTTCATTAATAAAGAACTTTGTTATACTTCACCAGCCATCTAAAGACCATTTATGGTGGAAAACCTCTGAGAACTTCTCCTTGGGCCCCCTGGCATCCCGCTGGACAAAGGTTGCACGTCCTGTTCTAAAGACAATTCTTTACAGGCCCAGCGCATGACAGAACAAGTTATGAAGTAGCAACAAAAATATGGTTGGGGGTCACTACAACATGAGGAACTGTATTTAGGGGTCACGGCATTAGAAAGGTTGAGAACCACTGCAAAGACTGTGGCACAAGCCAGTCAAGGTGGTCCCAGTGGTGATGGGCACACTAGGTGCAGTGCCTAAAGATCTTGACCATAGAAATCCCATCTTCCTCCTTCTCCTTGCAGAGACTGGCGACCCCAGGAGCCCAACAACTACTCCTACATGGTTCCCATGGAGAGTGCGGACTGCGCCCACATCTATCGGGACGGCCTCTGGAGCGATGAGCATTGCCTGTACCGGTATAATTGGGTCTGCGAGATGGAGGCCACAGGCTAAGCGGCACAAAGGCTGCAAAAGACAACGGTGGCGCTCTGCACATGGGCAGAGGCCGGCTGTGATCTTCATGGGGGTTGGGAGAGATGGAGGCAAAGGGCTGTTATCAGGCATGGGCCAACTTCGGCCCTCCCTCCAGGTGTTTTGGACTTCAACTCCCACAATTCCTAACAGCCGGTAGGCTGTTAGGAATTGTGGGAGTTGGAGTCCAAAACACCTGGAGGGAGGGCCGAAGTTGGCCCATGCCTGGGCTGGACAGTTTGCAAAAATGCTGTGATTCTTCAAGGAAATAAAACCATCACACTCTTCACATGGACAGAGGCAAGCTGTCATTCCTTGGAGTCTGGGGAGGAAGGATAGCCAAGAGGTAAACACTAAAGGATGGATGGGATGCTTGCAAAATAAGGAAATAATAGCATCCAAGGCATTCATGGCAGGAATCACTGGGTTGCTGTGAGTTTTTTTGGGCTGTGTGGCCATGTTCCAGCAGCATTCTCTTCTGACGTTTTGCCTGTATCTGTGGTAAGCATCCCCATCCTTTTGGGCATCACAATTGAAGGGAGATGTTTACAAACTGGAATGTGTCCAGAGGAGAGCGACTAAAATGATCAAGGGTCTGGAGAACAAGCCTTATGAGGAGTGACTTAAATAAAGTTATTTACACTTCCTTCTTTGCTTCCACGCTGGGCTTCTTTCTCATGCAGATAAACAGCTTCGCTCTCACAGAGCCTCCCCTGGAGTTACACAGGAGCTTCACACAGGGGCTTTTTACACACAGCAGCCTTCACAGTGGAGCTTCCTCTCACACTGTAGCATTCTCATACTGAGGCCTACCTCACACTGAGGCCTACCTCACACTGAAGCGAACTAACACTGAGGCCTACTCATACTGAGGCCTACTAACACACTGAGGCCCTTCTTCCACAGAGACCTCTCCTCCTCTCACGCTGAAGTTACACAGGAGTTTCACACAGTAGCTTTTTACACACAGCAGCCTTCACAGTGGAGCTTCCTCTCACACTGTAGCATTCTCATACTGAGGCCTACCTCACACAGAGGCCTTTCTCCCACTGAAGCGAACTAACACTGAGGCCTACTCATACTGAGGCCTACTAACACACTGAGACCCTTCTTCCACAGAAACCTCTCACACTGAAGTTACACAGGAGCTTCACACAGTGGCTTTTTACACACAGCAGCCTTCACAGTGGAGCTTCCTCTCACACTGCAGCATTCTCATACTGAGGCCTACCTCACACTGAGGCCTACCTCACACTGAAACAAACTAACACTGAGGCCTACTCATACTGAGGCTCTTAACACACTGAGGCCCTTCTTCCACAGAGACCTCTCCTCCTCTCACACTGAAGTTACACAGGAGCTTCACACAGTAGCTTTTTACACACAGCAGCCCTCACAGTGGAGCTTCCTCTCACACTGTAGCATTCTCATACTGAGGCCTACCTCACACAGAGGCCTTTCTCCCACTGAAGCGAACTAACACTGAGGCCTACTCATACTGAGGCCTACTAACACACTGAGGCCCCTTATTCCACAGAGACCTCTTGTCAGGAGTCAATTTCTGACGGCATGAAGACATCACAAATTCCCTCTATGACATCCTGACTGAATCATCCTGGCTGACTCAATTCTCTCTCTGTGACATTTTGAAGTCAGCAGAGGGTGCTGGAAATCTTGTATTGGAACTTGTGAAGCAACAAGCTCTAATAAGGAAACTGAGAAGCGGGGGGAGTTGGGCAGGAAAAGTGTATAAAAGGAAGTGGTGGTGGGAAAAAGTCAGCAGTGTCTTTCTTTGCTGCAGAGAAACAAGCAATATATCCATTTCAAAGCAAAACTGGCTTGTGAGTGGTCATTTAATATTGCTATATAGATCCTACAGTCTTACACCTCTCACGGATTGAGACTACTAAGTTACAGGCACACCTGCTTATATTGAACTGCAGCTTTGGAATTAAGAAATACCTAGTTAATTTTTAATATTTCTGAACTAGGTATTTTTTATAACAAAAATGTGAGTCAAGCACTGAAAAGGTTAAATGGATGCCAAGACTCAGCAAAAGCTGCAGTTCAATATAAGCAGGTGTGCCTGTAACTTAATAGTCTCCGACTGTGAGGGGTCTCTGTGGAAGAAGGGCCTCAGTGTGTTAGTAGGCCTCAGCATGAGTAAGCCTCAGTGTGAGTAGGCCTCAGTGTTAGTTCACCTCAGTTTAATAATGTTTAATATTTCTGACACAAACCTCTGAGGTTGCTTGCCACAGATGCTGGCGAAACGTCAGGAAGGAATGCTACTGGAAAATGACCACACAGCTCGAAAAACTTATAGCAACCCAATAACAATGGCACTCTTCACATGGGGAAGGGAAATACAAAGACCGAGAAAAAGTAAAAAAGAAAATGGAAAAGAGCTAAAGGCACTGGGAAAAGAGAAGTGGTAGGAAAGAGTCCATTAGTCACAATTTCCCACGGGGAAGACATACCTCCCTTAAGTCCGTCCTATCTGGGTCTGTACCTCCAAGTCAATTCTGGAGACCCCAGTGGTGCAATGGGTTAAACCCTTGTGCTGGCAGGACTGAAGACCGACAAGACAGAGGTTCAAAACTGAGGAGAGTGGGGATGAGCTCCCTCTGTCAGCTCCAGCTCCCTATGTGGGGACATGAAAGAAGTTTCCCACTAGGATGGTAAAACATCAAAACATCTGGGCAATGTCCCCTGGGCAACATCCTTGCAGACTACCAATTCTCTCACACCAGAAGCGACTTGCAGTTTCTCAAGTTGCTCCCGACACGAAAAAAACAAAACAAAAACAACAACAAACAAACAAAACAAAACAAAACTTCTGGACTTTGGAGGTCATTTTAACAGGTACCATGTCACTTTAAGAGTGCCCGAGTTTCCCCTATTTCCTCTTCCCTCCATGTAGCACTCTCCTTTTATGCGGTGTGCATTATTTTAAGGTGTCTTAGACACAAACTGCAATTCCAAGTGCGTTTTGTTTTTAAACATGCCTTTTATTTCTAATTTCTCAATAATGGGTAAGTCCAAAAGCCTCGAGCAAAACAGGGAGCCTGTCAAAGGACCTTACATATATTTAAATGTTTCACGCCGGACCGTATTTTAGTTCTTGCAGACCACTGGTTGGGAACCACTGGTCTAGAGTGTGTTCATTGTAGGGTGCCTATGAAAATTACTACACACAAGTGCCGGGCATCCGGATGGGTGGCAGAGGATCCTAGAAGAAGGTGCATTCGTTGAACCCAAAAGGGTTTATTTACTTGCAAGTTGCCGCATGGCGTCGGCCTCGAAGCGGAAGACGTGCCACCCTTCGGCAGCGGTCAGGTCCACGGCCCCTTCGCCCAGGTAGAAGTCGATGGCCGGCTGGTTCCAGTCCAGGACGCTGAATTTCATCTGGGTGCATCCCTTCTCCAAGCCAATCTGGAAGGAGAAACCCAGGAAATGGGGTGGGTGGGTTGCAGGAATCCAGAACCATAAGCTCAAAAGGAGACCCCCAAAGGCCACCTCATTTTGCCAGGTAGGCATCCATCCACAACCCAAGCACTCCCAAGAGGTGACCATCCAACCTCCATTGGAAGACCTCCAAAGATTTGGTGACTACCATCTTCCAATGCACTAAAGTAGGAAGAGATCCCAAAGGTCACCTCATCCAACCCCCTTCTGCCAAGTACGAATCCACAATCCAAGCACTCCCAAGAGGTGACCATCCAACCTCCATTGGAAGATCTCCAAAGGTTTAGTGACTATTCTCTTCCAATGACTAGAGTTGGAAGGGATCCCAAAGGCCACCTAGTCCAACCCCTTTCTGCCAGGTAGGAATCCACAACCCATGCACTCCCAAAAGGTGCTGGTCCAACCTCCGTTGGAAGATCTCCAAAGATTTGGTGACTACCATCTTCCAATGCACTAGAGTTGGAAGAGTTCCCAAGGGCTATCTAGTCCAATCCCTTTTTCCGTGCAGGAATTCACAACCCAAACACTCCCAAAAGATGCTCCATTGAAAGACCTCTGAAGAAGGGAAGCCCACCACCCTCCAAGGTAGCCTATAATTCACTAGAGGTGAAAGGGGTACCCAAAGGTCATCTAGTCCTACCCTGTTCTGTCATGCAGAATGACACAACTAAAATGCTTCTGAAAGATATAAACCATACACAAAAAAACACAAGAAAAGCAGTCCTGGAAGATGTCCATCCAACCTGTGTTTGGAGAGTCCACTGTTTCCCAAGGAAGTCCATAATCCACTAAGGGTTCCCCCACAGGTCATCTAGTCCAACCTCTTTCTGCTGTGCAGGAATCCACAACTCAAAGATGCTCCATCAAAAGACCTCCAAAGAAGAAGAGCCCACCACCATCTAAGACAGCCCATAATCCACTAGAGGTCAAAGGGGTACCAAAAGGTCATCTTGTCCTACCCCTTTATGCCATGCAGGAAAACACAAGAAGAGCAATCCTGGAAGATAGTCATCCAACTTGTGTTTAAAGACCTTCAAAAAAGGGAATATCACTCTCTTCCAAAGAAGTCCATAATCCACTATGGGGGGTTCTCCAAAGGTCATCTAGTCCAAGCCTGTTCTGCCATGCAGAAAGACACAACTAAAACGCTTCCAAAAGATATCAACCCAAACTCTGTTTAAAGGTCTTTCCAAAGAGTAATAGTTCTCTATCTTCCAAAGAAGTCCATACTGCACTGCTGAGCACCTCCTACGTTTCAAAAAAGTCTTCCTAATATGGCATCTCTTAATCTCGTAATTTTAATGACTTAGTTTAGTTTGTACCCTAGCATGTATCTACACACTGTAGAATTAATGCAGTTTGACGCCACTTCATCTTCCATGGCTCAACGCTATGGAATCCTGGGATCTGTAGTTTTGCAAGTGCCAAAAGGAAAGGGAGCGTGGAGTCACCTCAGCAACCGTCCGCATCAGCTTCTTCCCAATCCCTTGTCCTGAAAAAAGAGAAAAAGACAAAAAATATTTCAGATTTTGGAATATTTTCCTAGAAGCCTTTGCTCCATTGCAATGGACTCTATTTAATTTTAATGTTCATGCAATTGCATATGGAGGTTTGCTTTCCTTGGCTTGGACTGGACAGGGGCAAACAAAATAATTAATTCTATTTTAAGGTTTGTATATTTGGAAAATTTAAATTGGATTGATAATGCTTTTAATGTGAGCACCTCTACGTCTCCTTGTGGAGAGAAAAAAGCGGGGTATCAATAAACATAACAACAACAACAACAACAATAAGATACCAACATTTCTCTCACTGCTGCATTCTCAGTTCATTACATTCCTGGTGATGTATTTCTCTAATTTTAATATTGCTATATTCTCCCAAATTGTAAATGTATATATATGATGTGTGTGTGTATAAATATATATAATTTATTTATTTACGACATTTATATGCCGCTCTTCTCACCCCGAAGGGGACTCAGAGCAGCTTACAAGATAT